TTACATCTTATAAATTCATCATTTAAAGTAGGATTACAAAGATTATAATGGAACAGCCACGGATCAAATAATCTGTACAGGTGATATGCTTAGTGTTGTTCATGAACTGAGAAACGGACATGTTTTTCTTAAGAAGTACAGAAGAAAATATTCAGTGGATGTAAATATTTAGATGAACATGTATTTAAAAAATCAAATATTATAGGATAAAACTTGTTCATCTTTTTTAAACGTTATCCTGTAAAACCAAATGATTCATCATGTTTACATTTCTTTCTTGTTTCAAATGAACAGTTGATGAAAAAATAACCTTATCTACTCTTAGACTATTATAATTACTTGAATAGTAAATTCTTTGGTACTATGATTTAGTTTAAAACTTAAATTTTTTTGTTGAAATTTTGAAGCTTAAACTGTTTTGAATTCGATAGCAGTAATAAAAATATGGAAATGAAATCTTGATGTATAAGTAAAAGTTACAGTTAAATATTAAAAAATGTACAGGTATAAACATAACAACACAACATATGATATTCCTAAATCCATAGAAAAAATATTTTGATTCACTGGTTCATAATAATTTAGAACATAAAATGAAGAAACACTGAATTTCTGTTATTTATTTAATGTTTTGCGGTTTTTCCAGTTATTTATAAATAATTTGGGTAGAACTAGTCATGGCTGTTGTGGATTATCCTGTGAGAATTGCCTTGGCACCCGGCACAATTAGTCGGAACATAACTGGAAAGAAAATGTAAAATTGTAAGATTTGTAAAATAACATTACGTACTGTACAAGCTGCGGATTTCTTTGTCAAGCCAAAATAAAATTATTGTTTGTTTAATTTGGAATTGCCTCCCACCTCATTAAAATGCCCCTCCTGAAAAAAATTATATTGAGCAAAAGTAAGAAAATATTAATTTTTTTATTTAGAATCAATTCTTGACCTGTTATCACATGCACCACACAAAACACTTACCAGGTATGTAGTGTCAGATCTGTTCAAAATCAGAATTTTTTGTTGATAGTAGATACTTTTTTTTTCTTTTCAAAAAGTCAGAAAATGTGGGTGTTTTTTTTTAACTTTTTATTGAGGATTTTTAAATTAAAGATTCAAAATTTATCTTCCTGCCCTCCCTTCTGTGTCTGAAACCATCCAGGCGGCAATTCCAAACAAACAATTTTTAAGGATGATCTCAAACATGCATCACGAAGATATACTCTTCATTTATGTGCTTTTGAATTTTGGAGTGATATTTTCATGGCGGGGATTTTCTTGTCCTTTATATTCTTATTAAGGACATATTCAATTTAGTTTTGAACTTTACTTTTCTTATTCCCGATACAATTATGGAGTTCAGAGTCCTAATAATTAAGGAACCTCTGTATAATTTTATGTCTAGAAATCCTGTTCACCTCATCTGGATCAAACTAGATGAACGATAAAATACCAACTTTGTTTCCCTTTTTCCCTAAAAAAGCCTATCTTTTTTATCGTTTGATAAAGATTCAGAATTCACTGTTATGTGAATTTTTAAATCTTATAATATTTGATTTTGCAGGAAGAGTTATTTTGCAATGTTATCAGTATATAGGAAAGATACTGGTATATTGTGAGCTACATATACGTTAATGAGGAGAATAGCGATTTAAAACCCCTGGCTAGTAAAGATGTTGTGGCCCTCGAAAAAGAATATAACACGACTTTGAGTCACATTAGTGTACAAAACAGATTCATTTAATTGCTTTCTTTTATTCATTTTTTTTAAGAAAGCTACAATTGTTTTAATGAATGTCAACAGACTTCCACTGGAAAATTATCCCTCCATTAAAAAGACATTGTTTGTTTGTTTGTATACTGTTTAATGTCCCTCTCGAGAATTTTTCACTCATACGAAGACGCCCCACTTGCCGGTCGAGATCGAGCTGCAAATTTTGTCATACTCGGCACTTAGGGCCATTGAGCAATGAGGGTTTTTTTTATGCCAGCATCTACTGCAACACGGGACCTCCCGGTTTATACGGTCTCCTCCGAAGGACTGGTCTCCACGTCCCATAGTGGGATTTGCACCCGCGACGTAAGGATCAACTCCTTACTCTGCGACTCTAGTACAGACGCTCCACTGCGCCATGCGGGCGAATGTTATCACATGTTGAAAACGATCCAGTGAGTCTGCGTTTCGACTTACTTTAATTTAAACTTTCTGCAAATTTCTTTTTCAAATTCATGACCAAATTACCTTGATTTAACTACACCACTACAAAAGAGAACTTTAGAATTAAACTGTTATCTAAACCCCGATACAAGGTGTTGTATAATTATTATTAGGAAATGTTGAAACCAAATTTTATACTAGGAACAATGGTCTCAATACTCACATTCTTCACATAACTCGTTCGTGACAAAGAAGCGGAAAGGGTTTTTCGACATTCCCATCAAAGTTGCTAGATTATCCAGTGGAACTGTGCAGCTAGATATATTTATTTGATCTATCACTGAAATCAGAAAAAAATATGAAATACAGTACGAGACTTTTATACAAATAGGATTGTATACATTTTCGTATGCATGTTTTTCCATATGCATTTATCGAGGAATGTATTTCTTTGGTTAGTTGACTGTTCTCTCTCTCCTGAATTTTTTTTGGGGGGGTTAATTCAATAAAAAATTAATGAAAGGGCTCCTCTCATCAAGCCTGATTTCTTTTTTCAATTTCATTTACAAGATTGCATGGTTTTTCTTTCTTTCTTTCTTTCTTTTATAAAAAACAATCATAGTAAGTTGATAAAGATTTTATAATATTGAACTTCACTTCTGCATCCCTTGGGCCTGGTCAAGGTATTTTGATTTGAGACATACGGTATACCAACTAAGTATATAACTTAGGCTTATTGCTTGCCTTGTACGTCCATCTTATTGGTATTATGGAGATGAAAGAAATGTCATTTCAACAAATATATACGCATATTTTGAAAGATTGCTTACTAAAATTTTTGAGAATTTCCCTTTTGAAAGCATTCATAAAAACCGACGGTTGTTTCTCCTCCTTGATGCCTCCATCAAAGTTTTTCCTCTCACCATCGGTACAGACGACTGATCTACAGTGGGTGGTAGTGGGAACCCGGTACCTGTCTGATCTAAAGTGGGAGGTAACTTGAAACCCTGTTCCCATCATGCCAAACGGAACCGGAAACTGACATCTAACGCAGGCCATGACCAGACAGAAAAGCAGTGCTTGTAGCTTGTGCATCTAGACCTATATAATTTTTAAGCAAGAACGAAAAATATCATTCACAAATAATCTAAATTAAAATCAACTAAATTATAATAATTCACTATTCCTGAAAAAAAGAGGGGGGGGGGGGTAAGACATAAGCAAAATCGCATCTTCTCGGGTCTTTCCTGCAAGCTAGGAAAAACACCTCATACAAATGTATACACGTCACCGGATGTTAATGATATATTCAAAATGGAGTTACTTCCTGTTTATTATAATAGAGGGACAGAAGGAGTTGCACGTGCTTGTAGTAGTATTTTACAGTTAATGTCTTTATTTTCAATGAAGTTGAGTCTAATACACTACAGATAAGAGGTCTCCCTTCATTTATTTTAATGTTTATGAAAAGGGGGTGTGTACTGTCGTGACACCTAACATTTTCCGTTTGGAAGCTTGAAAAGAAAAGACAATTCGTATGAAAAACCAGATTTAGCCCTATGTTAGTATGTGCATAGCGATATTCAAATAGTATGATAATATATTCATCTAACAGAAATACATTTTAATTTTTCTCATATTTTCTGAAGAAAAAAAAACCCCTAAGTGTTTGATAAATCCTAAACGAGTGAAAAGGTGAGCTGTAGGTTTCCTCCGTGTCTGTCCGTCTGCCGTATTGTCCCCATGTCTGCCAGTCTGTCAAATATTGAAACGATTTTTGGCAGGTAAAGTCTGATGAGTTCTAGATCATACATTTATTTGCATTTTATTCTGATTTGATGATATTTTACGGAGTTACAGCTTTGTTTAATATGTATAAAGGGGAATCAGGTTTCACACATGGTGTTTGGCAAGTTTTTCTTTAAGGCTTGCAAAAATTGAGCTGACGTATGGTCTTTGAGTGTACCATAATGCGGTTAAAATCAAATTTTTCATTTGTTTTCCCTCTACGATAATTTTCTATGGAAATATGGTCTTTATAATTTTAAAGAGAAACCAGATTGCACTTACGGTAGTAGAGTAGTATTGCTTATGCCTATCCCCACTATAAAAAAAATGTTCTATGAAAGTCCCGTCCCCCATTTTTGGTGCAGTACACTCTATTCAAATAAGAGCAATAAGACTAAAACTCAAAAATATACTCAAAATGCAGTAATTGGAGGGTGGGTTTAGGAAAGCAGCCCCAAACCCATTTGCTTTAATATACAGAAGCTAAAACATACATTTTAAGAATTATTAGTGGAAATCATCAGATTATGGTATATATGTTTCATGTATATATGTTTGCCCATTCAATGCATTCATACAAATAATTCAGAAGCAATAAGGCTTTTTCTGAAGTTTCAATATAAATGTTAAAAATTGAACTAAAATTTGAAATAGAGTTTTCGGGCTAGATGTCCAGGCCACAAAAATGACTACAAAAGCAGCCGAGAACCAAACCTCTTTAAATGCAAATCTGTCTTGAATGCAAATGAGAAGAGCCGGGAGTGGTTGTCCGGTTTCAACTGGTTTTTCTTTTGGCCTGCTGTGGAGAAAATATGAGAAGAATGATTTTTAAAATGAAATATTTCATCTTTTATTCACAATTTTTTCATTTATTTTAACGTATTGCAAGGTTGACCTTGCAAAACAACAGAATAAACATTAAATGTTTTCATACGCAATCTTAAAAGGTAAATCGGTTTTTATTTTATTAAAAATCAATTCCTGAAATTTTTTAAAGTTTATTAATCATGTTAGAGAAATTTAAAAAAAAAAAAAGATAATTTTGTTTAAGTGAAAGTATGCTTCGTCATCTTCATATGAGCCCCCTTCCCATTTTTTTTCTTTTCTAAAATATGGTAAAGAATTTCTCATCTTCTATTCCCGGGAACCGGCCACCGTTTGAAGGATAATGAAAATTATCTTAAATTAATTTATATATAAATATAATCTTGTTTTACAAATACAAAGCTAGAATTTGTTCTCTTACAACGAAAGAGGAATAAATACACTGTACTATAATGTCTTAATCTAAGTATAAATCCATCGAATGTACGTTTTGAAAAAAAATATTGTTGATATTTTTCATAAAACAAAATAATAATTGGTGCTAAATTAATACGGGGATTGCTTATTAATTCAGGTACAATTAAGTTCCTTTATAGCCATATTTCAAGCTATTTTTTAAAATCATTTTTATAAGATAATTATATTGGACAGATTGGATATCCTTAAGTTAATTAATTTTAGTTATATCAAAATTAAATTAAATATTTTCATGGAATGAAGAAGAAAAAACCTTACTATTTTCATCTGCGGTTCCACTGCGTGTAATTTTCCCGACACCTGTGAATTTCTGCCGTCTCAGAACTTAATCATTACGTCACTGTGTACACCTGTAATGGCGGCGAAGTGTTAGTTATGTAATTAACATGCACATTAACGATAATATTGCTAGTTAACAGTTGTTAATATGCTTAAGATATCAATCGGCAAAAAATTAAACGATTACAAAACTCAACTACGGAATGTGGCATTCTAAATTTATTAATTAACATGTCACATGTACGTTGTGGATAGTAAAAACAATATCCTCTGAAGTTTACATCAAAAACTGTTATCAATTTAAATTCAAACCCAATAGAAAAATATCTTTTTGAGGAACACTTTTCAGTATAAATAATAAATAATGAAAAATGTTGTTAAACACCCAATTTTACGTTGACGCCCCCAAAATCTACCTGACTCAAGATCAATAATTTACCGCCTGTCAATCATTAAAAAACAATAGTTTCTGATTTGACTGACAGGCCAGGAACTTTAAAAATTTATTTTTCTTTCTTTAAATAAAAACTTTTTCATTCTTTAAAAAATGTTGCTAAAGACAATATCTCTCTCACATGTATATATTTTCTTTATTGAACTTTTAATAAATGCTTTTCTTGATATTCATATTTATATACTAAGTAGCAATTATTTTGAAACTTTCAAAATCAGAATTTTGTATTTGAACCAGTTTTTACAGATTTTTTTTAGAAGTTGTTTACATTAAAATGTACGATTTTTTTGTTTGTTTATTTATGTCTTACAACTCGGCATATTGAGTGATATATATCAGCGTTTTAGGAATGGGGCTTATTTTATCCTATGTAATATATGTTATATTATGCAAAGCGGTTTATTAAAAAAGCGTAAACTGCCCAAAGCTATATTATGTCCTAGGTTAAAATAAACTTAATTCCTTATAATTTAATTTCAATGTAGACAATAAAAGAATCCCCCCCCCCAAATGACTTCAAATTGAGCATATTTTAAAATTAACGTCAAGTGGAATAATACGTTTTTGATGTAACTCATTGTGACGCAGACTACCTATGTTATACAATATTAAATAAATCTTTTATCAAATCAAATGGCGTGTTACAACTAAAATTAAATTGATGGAAAATAAAAGCCCCAAGGTATGTTATATCGTATAACATAGGTTCAAACAAGCTTCATTCCTTAATTAATATAACGTGGAATACCATAATGAACTAATGCATGCTTACTTTCCAGATTAACGTTGTACATTACAAATGGATATCTCTTCTTATTTTTTAAACTTTAAAGTTGAAACTTTACATAAAGCTAGTATACTTGTATTGTTTACAATTCACAATGAAAACTATATCCCCCCTTTCCAATATTCAGGAGTTATTCAAATGACCACGTTGGTATGCCAGGGCATCAAAGATTATAGTTCGAAACAGGGATAATTCGCATAACGGGTGAAGCCTGTTATGTGTAAATTATCGCACTTTCTAACTGCCTTGATGTCCCTGGAATACCCAACAAACTATAGACAGTGAGTTCTTATATATTTATATCCTATTCCAATTAAATAGTCCCCGCCTATGTGCACTGACGTCAGACAAAAAGACATGCAACAGGAATGACATGCATATCAGATATCAGAATTTTCACATCAGGTTTAATTATTAGGAAATCAACTCATTTTAAAACTCTCTTCGAGATATCGCAGAGAAAACAAATAGGAATGTAAATATTTTACTTTACACATCAAAACGGCTGTGTTACAACGCACTTTGAAAAATTACGCACTTTGAAATTTTTTTTCAAAGTGCGTTAAATTTGGGACCAAATTAACGCACTTTGAAAAAAATAAAATTTCTTTTCAAAGTATGTTAATATCGATCATATTAACGCACTTTGAAAAAATGTGTATGGCTTGGTCTATATTCTTGCAAATCTTAGGTATGATAAATATTTAATTGAACCTATTTGATAACTCTTCGGTGATGAGGTCACTTCAGAATGTGAAAGTGAGCGTTTTTGATTTTTCCATACCTTGAAAATTCTCTCTCTCTTAAATGTTTTACTGTACTTTTTTTCCTAGTTTACATGCATGATCTGTAAACTAAAATGAATTGAAAGTTTTCAACGTTATAATACATACATTTAGTTATGTAAAGACATACATTTGGGTGTAGCATAGGCATCGGTACCGTGAGGGAGGAGGCTAACTTACACAAACATTTTGCAAAGATATACATAATATAGGCATTGAAAATTGGGGCTTATCTAAGGGAGAGGGGGGGGAAGTGTCCACTTTCAATTTGCTACCGACGACTATGTACAATGTATAAGAAAAAAAGAGTTGGACTGAGATACCTTCTACTCGTCTTCTCCTTGTTTTCAATGAAGTTAAATGAGTACATGTAAATTAAAAAGTTTTTCAAAAGATATAATTATTACAAATTGTTTCTCCATTTGCTAAATTCTAAGTCTAGAATTTTTTGTTTTATACACATTTTTTTCAAAGTGCGTTCAATGTCCATATGG